TGGCCTTGTAGGGAAAATGAAGTCAGTCAGGCTTCCTCACCCAGATGTCTGGACAACTATGATATTCAGCAGTATTGCCATAACCTTGAGTATGGGCCCGCATGCACAGAATCACGCTTTGTTATATAACATCTTGGCACTCTGTCAGCTTTGTGTGCATTTACTATGTAAGGGAGTTGGGACTCCCTGCTGGTGCAACATGTGGCTTGTGGCATATGTGGATCACTCCACCATAGAATAAAGGCATTTTCAGGCATCCCCACAGCTCCACACATTTTCTACCATCTGCCTGAATCCTGTGTGACCCTGTCTGGCCTTGAACAGCTGCAGCGCAGGTCTGCACACTCCTTGACCTCAGTGCACAGTACAAATCAGAAATGAAGTCCCCATTCACTTCACCTCAACACTTCTTTTTAAGTTCTGAACTTCCTTTTATACCCACATTCATCTTTGTCATGAAGCAACACTTCCTCATTTCTCAGATAGGTTCTATTAGTGGATTGAAAATATTTATGTTAAACCTAAAATATATAGCAGTTTATATGCAGACTGTTTGCAGTTTGGGTTTCAAAGCTTTGAGCTTTATCCCATCTCTAAACCTTGGATACCCACCTCCATGTCCCAAGGAACCTAACTTTGAAACTCTAGAGCACTATGCAATGAGTAAGAGTTGTAAGACTTTGAGATTTCCAGGAGATATTTGGAGAAAATAAATGTTTACAACTGTCTTTTGAGGCTGAAATAGTCTTGTGGCCTTTGTGGCATTGTGTATGTGCCCAGACTCTTCTGGGTAGCTCATGACAATGGCCCGACCTCTGTTCTAAAAACTTAGGCTTGCACCCAACTCACCTGTTATAGTTCCCACCATCTGTGATTGTAGGTGGATATGAAACTCATCATCATCAGTCCTTGAAGCAGAGAAAAAAAGCCACAAAGATAACAGCAGGCATCTCTGGACTTAAATATCAATGGGGAGAACGAAAAATCAAATGGGGTGCTTTTCCGAGCTACTTTTTTTGGTCACCTCTCAGGGAGAAGTTTAACACTTGGAATGCTAGACATTGGGTCCAAATCCTACTCCTCAAGAAGCTACAGGCTGTGAGTATCTCCTGATTGTAGGTCTCTGTGCTGAGGGTGGGGTTTATGGTGAGATTGTGTCTCATTGTCTTCTATTTGCTTGGATGTGGGTTTTTTCTTGGGTGTCCAATGTATGGGAGTCTCCCAAATAGTCTCTGGATTTCTTTCTCAGGGAATCATTGCTCTAATAGCTATAGATTTGGGAGGTAGCAGCTAGGAATGAGTGGCCAGAGGGGAAATAAAAGCAGGGCCCTCACCACACAATCTGACAAAGCACTTAATACACGAGGCTAGAAGCAAAAGGAAGACGTGTCTCACCAATCAACACAGCAGTCCTGAGCTCAGTTTGATAAGACTGCCAGGAGTTCCAAGCAAAATAGCACAGGAGGAGGGGAGATTTCTTGAGCCAGTACTGAGAAAAAGGGTTTCTGTAAGTGGATGTAATGATTTTACTAAGATTGCTGGATGTCCTGGGTGTCACGAGCAGGAATGGTGCAGGAAGGAGGGCTAGTTCTTGAGATGCTATGCTGGGAAAGGGAGCTTCTGTAGAAATTTTGTGAAGTAAAACAAAGAGCATTTACTGAGAAGGAAAGCCTTTGTAGCTGTACATTATTCCCAAGGAGCGAAGAGGGGAAACCTAGGAACTAGCTAAGGTATATAACCCCTGGACCACAATAGTTGGCATAGATAGATTAGCCAAGTACCCAGCTGCAGCTGGCTCAAGTGTATAGCACAAACTTACAACTTTCTTTCCTCTATATGTGGGGCATTTAGACTAGCTGGGTGCCAGCGTGCAGCTTTGTGCTTATATGTATTTCATAAATAAAATTGCTATCTCATATAGCTTTCTCATATTGCTTTCCACCATATGTATTTGTCTCTCACTTGAATTATTCTCTTGCAGGCAAGACAAACACTGAGGCAGGGGAGAAAGGCCTCCTGACTCGGTGTCTCTCTCCCCACGTGTAACAAATTCAGTGAGTCTCTGGGTGAAGGTGAGTTCAGGTACCTCTTAAGTCACAATCTTGAACCATTAGGTTTTGCTTAAAAGAATAAAAACTTATTTTTTACATTTTAGCCAACATGTCAGCCAGTTTGATGTCCGACGCTTACAGAAAAGTCAAAATCTGAGGCAACAGGGTTTCATAGAGAAAAGAATTATTTGTTCAACTGGCAAACCAGGAGACAAGAGAGAGGGCTCACACCCATCTCCTCCCACACCTTGGAATATAGACTTAAAGCAAATTTTAAAAATAATGGTAAGAAGGAGTTACATATATTAATTAATTCCAATTTGTGATCCTTGCTTGGACAATTTTGGAACTAAGTCATCAAAGGGAAGGAATGGGAAAGGTGAGAGAAGGTATAAAGGAATTCCTGTGGGCAGGGTCTCATCGGGTGAGATCTAGGTGCCCTGCCAAGCGCAGATTCCTGGGCCTCCATCATGTCTGACTACTGTCTCTGAGGACCAGGTCTGTGCTCAAAGTTTCTGGCTTGGTGTGAATATAGCTTAAGGCCACCCTTCAGGGTTAATTGGAGTTCATTTGTTGAGCTTTCTGAACATGCCCATGCCTCTGGGACCAGTCTGATATGGTTTGGTCTTGTGTCCCTGGGGCTCTGTGAGAAGACCTGCTGTTATTTCCTGAAACAAATAAAAGCAAAACAAAACAAAACAAAACAAAAAACCCCCGCAAACCCAAAACTATTAGATCTTCTTCCAGTGTTACAGCCTAGTTTCAGTTACATTGATTTCCTTCAGTTTCCCCTCATGTTAGCAAGTGTGTCCCCAACTTTGAAACAAATGTCACTCTTGCTGTCTGTAAAGAGATTCTTGGATTCAGATGCCAGGCTACAAGTAGGGAAATTTTTCCCAGAAAAGTCTGAGAACATCTTCAGGCAGCCAGGCTACTGGAACACTCTCAATGTTGTCTCTTCACAGGGCTGGAACCCTGCAGATGGTGTGAGTTCCTCACTGAGCAAAGGAAGAGAAGGATCTTATCACACACAACCTTGTTCCAGGCCCTGTGCGTCTTCACACATTGATCCCCTCTTTAAAGCCCCCACAATTCTTTGAGGTAGCCTGATTCCCATTTTTCAGAGGAGAAAATTGGTTCATGGAGTGTCAGTGAGATGCCCACCATCACATAGCTGGTATGTGTTTTCCAGTATCTGAACACAAGTCTGCCTACTACACTTCAGAGGGGAACCTCTTTGCTTGATTCTCTAAGGAACTGTGAACACACTGCCCCTCAGTGTCTGATGGATCACAGGATAGTGTGGTCTTTAATGGGTCATCAGGTCCAGAGATTCCTACACTTCGACACTGTAGGTCAACACATTGTTGAAAAATATTTGTATACCTTAATTTTTCAAGAAAGAAAAATTTGAAATAGTGTGACATTTGCTGGAAATGTCATTTTACAGGATAAAGAAATTTAATACTCCCTAAGTAAAAGGAAATAATTCATTTCATCATTCATTTAAGACATATTCATTGACTGCCTTTGGTGAAAAATCACTTAAAATCCCTAGAAATAATCCTCAAGATATACCTTAAGGGAAATAACATAGATCAAGAAAACCTACTAAAACTAGGGAAGAAAAGTGAGCATCTCTGGTGTCTGAATCAAGATCTGGCCCCTCATCCCCTGTCCAGCTCAACAAGACCAGCCCCACTCCAGACTCCTACAGCCTGAACACAGCTTCCAGTTGAAATAGTTGAGAAATCTCAACTTACTTGAACTTACTGTTCCTCAGTTTCATACTATCCTTAAAGAGCAATCATAATATCTTTAAATGGCATATCCATTATTGAACCAATGGCAATATTAATGTGACTAGCCTGCTGCATCAAATTGTGCAACTTGGTCATATTATTGCTTTCTCTTCCTCTGGCTCCTGTTTGACAGTGATTGGTAAAGGTCTGATTGCATAAATATCAGTCTCTTTCATTCTCTCCATTCCCAGCAGCTCATTTTTCCTTCTTATCACATATAAGTCATGTGTATATGATAATAGAGCAACAGACAATTTGGAAATTTGTGTGTGTGTGTGTGTGTTTGTGAGAGGACCATGTATGGAGATCCAGTTCTGGGGGCATCAAGGACTGTGAGAAGGAACAGCAGGAGTCTGTGAGCAGCTGATTTGGGTTGAGTGGAAGCAGAAGCTTCTAGTCAACTTTTTCTCTAAGGCTGGGCCCCTCATAGAAAGAAGGAGATAGCAGAGATTGAGGGAGTCAAGTGGAAGGGGAGGATGGAAGGACTTGTGGGAAATATCCACTCATAAATATCTGCTCATCATTTAAGACACATTCCCTGAATGTTTCCTAAGTCTTGGACTGTCTTTCTCCTGGGATGTCCATCGTGAGAGGACAGGAAGTCCCAGACACAGGACTCTGCCCCCTCAGCCTTCTTCCCCAGGTCCTGAACCCTTGTCCCCGTTCCTTCCACTCTGTCATCCACAGGGTTAGGCTAGGAACAACCCTCTGAGCAGGTGATCTAGGACTTCTGAACATTACTCTAAAATGTAGATTCTTTTGCCTTAAGGAACCTCAGTGATCAAAAAAATTGAGAGGTGATCTCCGAGATATCTATCCTCGTAGTTGCCCCACCCTTGTAGTTGCCCCACATTCATTTCCCTCTACCCACTTCCTGCACAGAAGGCCTAGGACTGTGTGGACACCCTTTGAAAACCCTTGTGCAAACCAAGTTCTAAAACCCCCCACACATTTCCTGTGAGTTGGGAACCCCTTAGAGTGATTCCTGAGACTTCAGAGGGTACTGATGGAGTAGTGATAGTTGAGTCACCTTTTCTTAATATCATATAAGCCCTGACCATGTGTGACTTGTGGGCTGGCCTCTCCTACTGACCTTGCCCCTTCTGGGACAGACCTTGGTCTGCCCTCCCTGCCCAACAACTTACAGTCAGGCTCTCCATTTCCTTTGGACATAGAGGGCAGAGACACCAGCCACCAGCAGCACCTTGAAGCCTAGGGGGACCACTATGAGGATGTCAGTAGATAGTCCTGGGCCTGAAAACAGGGAAATGGTAGGAGCCATTAGAAGAGACCATTCCCAGGGTCCTCCACTTACTCTGTCTGATGCTACCCATGCCCATCAATGCTCTGAATCTCTCGAATCCTACTCTGGCCTCAGGCTCAAGGCAGAAATCAGGGTAAAGAGGTTCCTCATTGTTAATCAACCCTTTCTTAGCTTGCCTGGGTTGTCTTCCTTGAGGGAATGGGTGGAGAGAATGTGTGCTCAATGACTTGTAAGTGAGGTACCTGATTAGCTGACTTGGTCCTCACACCCTCATGGGGATGTTAATATTCTACTCCTTCTGAAGAGGAAACTGAGGCTCAGAGAGTTAGGGAAAGCACAGATTAGTCAGATTGAAGTGCAGAAAAATTCACCACTGTTATCCCTACAATGACCCTAAGACCTTGTCTTTTGAATGGGGACAGGTTCAAACTCTCAGAGTTCAGGAACAAAAGTGAACAGAGCAATTGAGTAGAGTGAGGACAGATTTCACTGTGAGAGAGCTGCAGTGCTGCTCTGCTGGCACCATGGACAGGGCTGGGTGACCCATGTTCTCAGGAGCAGAAGGGAGGACTCACAGCCCTGATCTCATGAGACCTGCTGGCTGGAAACACTCTGTGACTCAGGGAAATGTCACATGTTTGGGAGGAACTGAAACATGATTCAGCCAGCCTTGATCCCATTGTCAATGTCAGCTGAAACCTTTCTATTGGACACAGAAAGTCAGATGGGAAAGCACAATTTTATATTCTTTGCAGATTTACAATGAGCCAGTTCTATTTAAATAAAAAGAGATATTAAACAGTTTTATAATTATAATAATCATTAATGTAGGACTGAGGAATTCATGTGGGAAGGTGGAGAATGGCAATTCTCAGCTGAGAGTCTTTCTGGGATTTTCTCTCAGGTGAAGAGAGCTTCATTGTAAGTTTGCAACCCCCCTAGAGGGCAGCCTGGGTAGAGAACTGGCTGGACTGGGAGTATAAAGGTTCAGCCTCCTCCCCCTCACATAAACAACTCTCAGAGACAGTTCTTCTGTCCAGGTCTCCATAGAGCACCAAGTCTGGTACCTGCATTGCAGTTCAGCAGCTCCTCTGCTAGTCCTGCTCCTTTACCCCCTGAGGCATGTGGATCCTGACAGCTCCCCATAGTGAGCTTCCCACACTCTTATGTCCATTTAGCATTTGCTTCCAAGGCAAACGACTTGTGGGAGTCAACTGTGAGTCTTCTGGAGAGCAAACTCTAAAATGCAATTTGGAAACTGGATCACTCATCAGCTGGCTGGTCAAGGGGACCCAGCACTGGTGGGAGGTGCAGCAGGGGTGGGCCCAGCAGGCCCTGTTGTTGCAACTGTTAAAATTCTCACCAGTGGTGAACTGGGATGGAGTAACCAGAGGAAGAGAATACCTGGGTATCAGGCATTTGGAAGTGAGTTGGGAAATGATCATTATAAGGACAATGGAATTGGATGACTATTGTTGGGGCATCACTCCTTTGGAGAAAGATGATGAAAAGTTTAAGTGTAAGTCAAGACTTCTTGATAGTATTTCAGATTCTTTTCTTCTAGAGTCAGAGGGCAAAAAAAGTTGAGATTTGGGTCAAGGACATAATTCTAGGTATAGCAGAGGGACAGAGAAGTTCAGTTCTCCATTTAAATGAGGCCCTGATTGGGAAATAAGGGACCTGAGGTTGGGGCCTATGGGCCAGAGCACCCAACAATCTTCAGTCCCCTTCTGAGCTGCTGGGGACAATGGCAGCAGCAGAACTACTTATCTCCAAATACGGCCTCTCCAAACCAAAGACAAAACACACACACAAAAACAAAGTAAATACTGTATACAATTGGCTCTCAGTATTATGTGAATAGAAAAACAGAAAAAGTAGAAAAACCTATGAGTTAAAAGAGAAAAACCACCAAACCCCACAGCATAATCTTCCATGTGTCACCTTCCCACCCTCACTCAGGAACAAGGCACAGGGCAGCTGACAGAGGGGCTGAGAGCTACTGGGGATGCACCACCACCAATACTGAATCCACCCTAACTCTGAAATACTGCAAAGTGTCCTGGAGATCAGAGCACAGACCATAGGAGGAGGCTTCAAAGTAAGTCTGCACAAAAGGGTTGGCACAGAATCCCCATAATCTGTGGCTGTGTTACATTTCCTGGCAAAAGGATTTAGTTGCAGTGATTAAAAAATGAAATGGGGACATGATCCAGGATTTTCCAAGTGGAGCCAATGTACTCACAGATCCTGCTAAGTGAAAGCGGAGGCAGGCGAGCCAGAAAAGGAGACATGATGACAGGGGCAGAGTTCAGAGTGCTGTGGGGCCTCAGCCTCTGTCTAGGGCTGCAAAAGGCAAGGACCCAGATGCTCCCCCTACAGCCTCCAGGGGAGCCCAGTCCTGCCAACCCACTGCGGACCTCTGACCTCTAGAGCTCATGATAATAAACTTGTGTTGTTTAAGACACTTAGTGTGTGGCAATTTGTTTCAGTACAGGCTAATGCAAGGAGAAAAGAATATTTAAAAGGACAGATGAGATTGAAGGGACAGGCACAACTCTAAGCACACAACTCCTGTGGGTAAAAGGCAAAAAATAACTGGGAAAAAAAAGGCTGTTTGGAACTGAGAGTTAACTGGAAATAGAAATAGTGGAGGTAGAAAATTTAGCGTTCTGAAAGACAAAAAAGAAGAAAATCTATGGGGACTCAAAACCATGTTCTCATTTACAAAACCAGTCATCTACTACAAATCTGCATTGATAAATGTGGATTTTGCTATATTGACAGAAGAGAGGTTTATCCATCTAGAAATACTGTAAAACATCTCAATGCCATAAACATGACCAAAAAGACATGCATTGTTACACCACACCCATTGGCCCAGGACTGCAGTGGCCTGAATCCTCAGATGCTGGTACAAACTGTGACATCCCAGTGCAGATGGTCACATACGTATCTTGCACTTTGCTTCAGCCAGTCAACCCAGACAGCCCAAAAACCATTTCCAGGTTAGTGCTCAGCAGCGTGTGGGGCCAGGCCCACTGAGGGCACTTGGAAGTAACAGCCTGCTCTGAGACACGTGAGAGGTGGAGACTCAAAAGCAAACCCAAGGTGGTGCAGGGAATGTGGCAGAGACTGATCTTTCCTGCTCTTCTTGTTCAGCACTGCTCTGACCCCTGGAGATAACACCAGGTTTCAGCACAGGAGGACTGGAGACATGGAAGAAAAGGCACACTAGCTTGGGACCTGAGGATAGAGAAGGAACTCGGCATTCAGGCATCGGGAGTGGCACCACCCTATCACCCCAGCCTAGAATGCAGCCCAGGTGTTGCATTTAAAAAGTCTAAAATCAACAATCTATGTTCTTACCTCAGCAAACAAGAAAAGGGGGAGCAAAATCAACCCAAAGCAAGCAGCAGGAAGGAAATTATAAAGAAGACAAATATCAATGAAATTGAAAGTATAGAAACTCACTGAAACAACAAGTGGGATGTGTGAAGAAACCCATAAATTGAAAATTTTCTACCAAGACTGATGGAAGAAAAAAGGAATGACGCATTTTCGTATCAGGAATGAAATGGGATAGAATCACCAATCCCGCAGACATCAGCCATGTATGAGGGAATCTCTGAGCAACTCTGCAGGCAGACGGGTGTGATGACTGCTGGTCTACTGTCCCAATCTGGGAAAAAGGAGGCCTGTGCTGGGACCACCCATGGTCACTTGGATGACTTGTCCTGACTCAAACTCCACGTCCTTGGGGCTCCCCCTCTGGAATTTCACAGAGCAGCAGGTTCAGGCATTTGCTGGGTGACCTTACTGATGGGGATGGAAAAGTCTAGGTTGGAATGGAGACCAGGAGGAGGTTGGAAACACCAAAGAGGAGGGAGGGGCTGACATGGACAATGGGCACAGGGACAGTTAGGAGAAGGAAGGGAGAGGCAGGACACTGTGAGCTCATGATCTCTGTCCCTCTTTCTTTCTTTAATGTGTACTGATGTGAACAGATCTATAAATACATGCACCAAACTCTTACCAGTGGTGGCTCTTGGAGTGTGTAGTTTAGGGAGAGGGATCCCTCCCAAATTCTAGTTTCTATCAATAAACTTCCAGATTCTTTTCTATAATAAGCACTAATTGTTATTGGTAACAGTAAAATTTAAAAAGAGCTGGGTGAGTTGCAATAGAGGTCTCTCCCTGGACTTTACCTTTGTCCTTCTGGTGAGCCAAGGCCTCCAGGGTGAGGTTGCTGCTGATGGCCGGCTGCCCATCATGCTGCACCAGACAGGTGAGCTCCACGGCCTCCTCGTGAGCAGATGAATTCATCAGGAGCCAGCTTGTCTTATTAAAGGTCCCATCCTGGTTCTCTTTGAGAGTCATGGTCGTTTCTGTTCGGGACATGTTTCCATTCTCCAACCAGGTCAGCTTTAGGTGCCGGGGGTAGAAATTCTGGACCTGGCAGGCATTCACCTCACTCCCTGCCATGAGGTGGTGGGCAACCTCCACAGTGGGCGGAACTGAAAGAGCACAGGACAGGAAGGTCTGACCTCGTGGAAAAGACAGATCACAGGTGTGGGCCCCATAACATAGCCCCCCAACCTCAGCAAGGATATCACAGGGGACAGGTACTCAGACATGGGGGATCTGCATGTGAATGAAATCACTAAGCACAGTGCCCTGCACACAGTAGGTGCTCATAAACTGGGAGCTGCTATTAGGGTAATAGGAGTGAAATCACCAAGCATAGCCCTGGAATGCAGTTGGAACATAATCACTGTACAAAATAAGTGAAGTCACCAAGCACATAGTGGCCAGGTTTATAGTAGGTGCTCAGTTATTGGAGTTGCTATTGGTAAAGTAGATGAAACTACCAAGTACAGTGGTAGGTGATCACCTGGTCACTGCCATTAAACAGTGGTGAGTGACAGGTGAGTGACTGGTGATGGGAAGGATTGTCAGGAATTACATTCCTGGTAAATTAAGTTGGAGCAAAGAGCAGGAGGAGGCACACACTTAGAGGGTAGGAACCAGGTGTGAGAGGCATCTACCTCGGATGGCCTCAGACAGGTTGGCAGTCCCACGAAGAGGAGGGCCCCCCTTCAGGGTGACATGTTCCACCTGGCAGATGACCTGGGAGCGGACATCCCCCTGGGCCAGCCGCACCCTGGCTGTGCTGGAGATGCTGTAGGAAGGGCTGTCTCCCTCTGGGTCCACAGTGGTCTGGGAGGCTGGGAGCTCATTCCCGTCTTTGAACCATTTCAGGACGATGTTCCTGGGGGAGAAGCTGTGGGACTTGCAGGTGAAGCTCACTGTCTGTCCAGGTGTGGCCCTCCCCACAGGGGCTGACACCACGGGGGGAGAGGGTTGGGCTGTAAAAGGAGCACAGTGGACAATGAACATGACTGTGACCATTACCAGCAATGACAAGCATGTGACACTGTTAGCCACCTTTTCGTGTATTACTTTTCATCCTCTAACAATGATGAGAGGGCATGTCATCATCCTCATCCTACAGAGTGGGACACTAGGGTCCCCAGAGATGAACTCCGAATGAGGGGCAGGGCCCACAGGCAGCCCCAGGCCTGAGTTCAAAGTGCACCTTCCTTCCCCCTGAGGTGACCTCCCACCCGTCTGGGCTTGGGAACAACGGCACTGAGCGCTCTCCCTCTTCATATTAACTCTCCTGTCTGGCTTCCCCTGACACCTCCCCGACCTCACAGACAGTGTTCACAGAGTACATGTAGGGGAAGCTGTGGGGGTGGGACCCCATGGAGTGGAACAGGCTGGCAGCTGAGGAGAGGTGCAGCCAGGGCACATCCCAGTCCCGCCTGTGAGAGGGGACAGTGGGCACTTCCTCCTTCCCGGGTTGCAGGGAGGGTGAAATCAGGCAATGGAAGCTGTTTTGCTTTGAGTGAAACAGAAGATGCTTTGCAAAGGTAAATAAACACAGATCCACCTTGAACCTGGACTTAAATTATACCCAGATCTCTCCCTTCAAGCATTAATAAGTTTACTCCATAATTTCCATTATTTGAACAAATATTCCAGTAGGGTTGAATATGTGTCAATCACTAAATTTCAAGGGATGGGTTTGGGATGATTTTCTGATTTTGAGTTATTCTCCTCAGTACATTTGGCTTCAAAAAGAAGAGTGCAGAGATCATTAAGGGTGGTTAATTTCCCAATGGTCATGAAATGAGAAGAGTCACAGACACAGGCCTGTGAAGCAGGCAGACCCCCCATGTCCTGAAAGGATCCACACTGATTCCAAGGGTCATTGAATCACAACCAAGAGCAGTTTCTCCCGGTGGAAAGATTCTGTAGGGTGCCTTGAAATTGTTAATCATCACTCAACACCTTCTCTAACAGGGGGCACACATCAAACACGAAAAAGCATTAGCATTTCTAAATGTCTACCTTGCTTCCTAAAACTCCTCAAACATTTTGAGGACATAGTTAAGGGGGTGTCACTTGAAGAAGTCATGCAAACCCTAGCAGCCTGGATGTCACTGGGGGGATGGATGCTGGGGTCAGTTACCATGGACTGGGAGCCTCTTGGGCTCCTGATGATGGGCTGATGCCTCTGCCCCCTCAGCTGCTCACCCTCCTGCTGCCCTGAAGGCTGGCCCTGGTGGACTTACTTATGGGTGGAGGCTGAGAGGGGAACCCGGCTGGCAAAGGGCACATGGGGAGCAAAGGGCAGAGCTCATCTCTCTGCACTCAGGTTAATTTTAGCATCTCTGTTCTTTGTCCTTGAGCCTCAGTGTCTGTTTCTGCACAAAGTGGATTGAAACACCACCCTGGTAGAGAGGAGTGAGGAGGTATGTAAAACACAGAGACTCGATACATAGAAAGCGCCTAATAAATAACACCTATGACTGTAGCATGACATCTGGTATTTCTCTTTCTGACACTGCTGATTTGTTCTGTGGGAAGAAAAAACAAACTCATAACAGGAACACCAAGGAAAGTCTCAAACCCTGCTTTCCATAGCTGCTGTGCAAACACCCAGCTGAAAATAAAAGCAAAGAAACCACCTAATTAGCGTTCTCTTACTATTCATTTTAATGATCCCCTCAGGAAACAAGTTGGGTGAATTAATTTTCAAAACACACAATAAGTCACAGGAGTTTCCCTGCAGATCAGCTCTTTGCAGAAGCTGGGAGCATTTTGAAAAAGGAGAGCAGATTTGAGACCTGACAAGCTGGTGTGTTGGGCAGGAAGGGCTCTGGGACTGAGCAGTGAGTATCTGTGGGGTTTCAGAGACTGTTCACACATACAAACCCCACGTGGGATTTGAACATGGGAAGGTGTCCCCAGCCATGGAGCTTGGATCTCACAGGGTGTCTGGGCTGCGCGTCCTCAGGCCTGGAGACAGCAGGGTGCCACTCTCAGCGCCCTCTGCTCCAATGAAGGGTGTCCCTGCCCCTCCACTCAGGCTGATTTTCCTGGGACTCTGATGAGCTGTCTCTGGCACACGAGATTCTGAAGCATCCCCACCACCCAAAGGTGTTGTTCTCACATCCCAGCAGCAGGGGGAGACACTTCTGTCAGGGGAAAGAATATGAGGTTTCCTCTGTGACCCCAGAGAACATCTAGCTTACTTAGGGTCTTCAGCCTCTGGATAGTGAAGAACTTCAGCTGCCAGACCCACATCTGAAATTACCGTATTTTTCAGTATAAGACTCACTCCCTGCCCACGCCCCAAATTTGGGAGGAATAATGGTTGTTAATGCTGCTGTTGAGTTCTGTTTACATTTACATTGGTGAAATATTATGTTGTTTGTGTTATTAAACATTTTACCACATTTTTTGCTTCAAAATTTTTCCCCCTATTTTCCTCTTCTAAAACTTAGGCGCGTCTTATGGTCCGAAAAATGAGGTAAATCAGAATTCCTAGGGTGGAGCCAGGGTCTGGGGACATTTGTAAAATTTCCCAGGTGATTCCAATGACAGCCAAGGTTGAAAGGCACTGAACCCCACCTCCAACCCCATCATATTGAGACTTGGGAAGGAGACTGTCCTGTCGAAGGCCCTATGTCTTTGGTGTGTCATAGCTCACACTCATCACACATCTACTATGTGTCAGGCACCGCTCTGATCACTGCGCATGCGTTCACTCACTCAGTCCTCAGAGCTGCTCTGTGAGGTCAGTGCTGTCCCTGACAGATGAGGACACCACGCACAATGTGGGGAGCGATGAGTCAGAGGTCACAGGCCAGGAAGTGGCAGAGCTGGGATCTGGGGCCAGGCAGGGGGCTCAGCCCATGCACTCACCAGCTGGGTGCTGACGCTAAGTGACACCTTGACCTGGGCACCAGGGGCTTTCTAGACATCCTCTCTTGTCCTCACAGACCCCTGAGTGGGAGCTGGGACTATCACCCCTGCACAGACGGGGACACTGAGGCCCCCAGGGACACTGAGACTTGCCCAAGAGCACCCAGCAGTGGGATGACACCGTTGCTCACTGAGGCTCTGCCCTCTCACCATGCTCACTGTAGCTTCAGTCCTTCCTGCAGAGGGTGGGGAGAGCGGCCACTGTCTGCAGGTGAGGAAACGGGCCCAGCAAGAGAGAGTGGGCCATGCCGTGAAATAACACCCGATATGGGGAGTGATTCTGTGCTGGGAGAGTCAGACAGAGCACCTCAAATCCTTCCACTCTCCAGAGGAGCCCATGATTATCACCATCTTACAGAGGAGCAAAGGGAGGCTGAGAGAAGTGAAGGGGCTGTCCCTCACCCAGTACTAGGTCCTGGGGTATTTGCTGTGGCCCCCAATTCATGTCCATCCACACAGATCCCAATACTGGCTGCTTCCTCCTCTTTACTCTATGAGATCTTTGACTTTAAGGAGTTAAGGAATAATGGGGGGGGGAGTTAACTCCAAGTGACCAGGGCTTGAGACCTTCTCCCAATAAACAAAAGACATGGCCTCCTGGAAAATGAGTCTAGAATAGGAACTCGGCTCATTCAGGGCCCCAACCAGCTTCTAGGAAATGGCTTCCCCTCCTTTTTCTGAGTCTGCGTGTCCAGGATTGTTATTCAAGGTGTTTCTGGGGTGCCATGACCCCTGTCTGCTGCTCTGTCAAGGCCACTGTCCCCAGGCTGCTCCTGCAGGTGCTCAGGGAGGGACAAACAGCACAACAGAGGGGGTAAGCCTCCCAAATGCTTCTGTGTGCTGAGCCCTGTCACTAGGAGCAGGGCCAGCACATGGTGAGACTTTTGCATACATGTCTGATCTGGGTTGTAAGGTTATCCTGCCCATCCCAGAGGACCTGGTAAAAAGTGCTTATAGCTGAAGACAAAACAATTGAAGTTTTAAAGGACAAGTTTGAAGCTTTCTGCACTCTTTGACAAGCACAGTGAGGTGTGGCAACAACCAGGGGCTGTTAGTCAGGCTGTTTGGGGTCAATCTTAGCTTCTCTACCTGCTCACCAGTCAGGTCCCCACTCTGAGCCTTAGTGTCTTCATCAGTTAACAATAACCTATGTCACAGCACTGGTTATAAGAGTAAACGTCACGAGGAAGGTACGGTAGCTAGAACGCTGCTGATCCTGCCCACTCCCACCTCCCTGCCTTCTCATCCAGGGCATTTTCTGGCCAGGCAGCTTGGGGAGAAAGAACCAGGACTTTACCAGGGGCAGCAGATCTGAGATGGAGGCACACACTGCCTGTGATTGCCTAGGCAAGGGACACATTATTAGGAACTACTGTAATGTCAGAAAATTTGGGATAAAGCCACCTTCCCTGCCAATGATCAGGGGTTGTGGGAGACTCCATTGCTACCACATCAAGGAGGAAAATTGGCAATATCCACACAAATTAAAATCACATACTCTCTGACCCAGCAATGTCACTTCCAGTGGGCATCTCCCTCTTGACCAAGTGACACAAGGGCAAGGTTCTCCCTGATCACTGTTCTAATAGCCACAGGTTGGGAACAACATATATCCATCAACAGAATGTCAGTGAAAGATGCTGTCTCCATACACTGGAGGGTGAGGCAGCTGTTGAAGAAGGGGCAGCTCTAGGTGCTGATGTGGATGCTTGATTTTGGGAGGATGGGGCTGAAGGATCAAGTGAATTTCAATGACCTTGGGCTTCAGGGTCTGAAAGTGAGGGCACCTGAACCTTTGAGAAAACAATGAAAGAAATATTCTGGCTTTTTGTTCAGTGGTTTGGTGTAATAACCTTTTAATTTGAACCTACTATATGTGAAGTCTTCCATGGAAAGAGGCTCTTACAACAGGACAGGAAGGAATGTTCCTTGGACTCAGATAGGGCTCTGGAATGATGACTTCACGCACCGGCCATGTGACCAAAGGCAAAACTACTGTCACATTTTGGCCACAGGCTCCCTTGTTTGCATGGGGGTCAGGCAGGGTGGTCTAACAGTGCTTTGTGTTCAGACATCCCTGGGATTCAGGATCCTGGGTCTCTGGCAGAAAACTCTAAGTGAACATTTCTGCTGTCTTAATGGGGTGACCCTGAAGGCACCCACACTTGTAGTAACCCTCTCCCAGAGTGCAGGACATCTGAGAAAACTCTGCTCAGAGCCTGAGTGGCAGTGTGACGGGGTCCCTGAAATAAAGGGGGTTTATCAGACAGACCCACAGTGAGTGCCCAACCTCTGGCACCTCCTTCCAGCAGGGCTGGCAGAGCAAACAGGGAGTTTGTGCCCCTTAGGGATGTCTTTTCCTGTGATGCTTCTGAGGAGGAAATAAAGAACCACATGCCCCCTCCCTGCCCTGCATGGATCTCTCCCAACTGCAGGGAGGAGAACGAAGCTTCATGGGAGAAGAGCTCTGCCTGCTCAGTGCCCTGCAGCTCCCTCAGCACCCAGGGCAGAGCCCAGCTCCCAGTGGGATGTCAGTGAGTGTCAGTGAGGGGGGCTCGGCCACACTGAGGGGAGTGCTCTCTGGAGGCAGGGGTGAGGCCTGACCTTGTGTTGGGCAAGTCCCTCAGACCTTTGATTCCCTCATCCCTGGACAAGGGGCTGGATGAGATTGGAGAAGGCAAGGACAGAGGGGGGTCAAGCAGATGAGGGTTTCAGACTTTTCCCACCATTTTCCAGTCATGGGGCCTGAGAAGATAGTAGGACCTCTCCAGGCCTCAACTTCCCTGACCTGCAGGAGGGGTGAAGTCAGACCAGCAACTAGACCTTGACTCTAAGTACCCATGATCACACCTGATTTGTAGTTGCTGCTCAAAGAATGGAGGTCTTTCTTATGGACTTGTTGTCACACACCAGAGAAGAAGGATCCCGCACTGTACTCACCACTCACGGTGAGCCGAGTGCCTGCTCCAGACTTGAGCTCCGTGTTTTTAGGCTCTCCTCTTCGGAACTTCACACAGTAGTAGGTGCCGGTGTCTGCTGGAGTGATATTGCTGATGCGGATGGAAAAGTCCATGTTGTTTTTCCTCGTGGTGTCTGCAGCACTTGTTACTCGGAGGGAGTGGCCTCCTTTGTGACTGTAGATTAACTCCCGGCCTGGCCCTGTCCCCCTGAACCACATGATAGACCCCACAGGGAAAAGGGATGTCATGGTGCAGTTCAGAGTGGCAGTCTCTCCTGCTGCCACTGACACTGACTTGTCAGGCTGAATCACTCGCAGTTCCTCACCTGCCCCTCCTGGAGGGAAACAAAGAGCAGTTATTTATCCTCCATGTGTGATCCTGTGGGTTTTGTCAAGTGTTTATCAGCAACAGCTTTCATTGACTGAGTGCACACTCTGAATGGGCCTGGAGTTGAGCACACAGCATGTGTCATACATGTGACCCTCACAACACGCCTGTAATGTGAGACCCTAGCAGGTATGAGGAACCCAAGGCACTGAGAGGTAAAGTGATGGGACAAAGAGTGGGTTTAAATCTTTCCCATCAAGTGGTTCTGCTTGGTGCCCGCATTGGAGGGTGTGTGCTGGGCCTTTCCCTGTGACACTGGGCTGCCCAGCTGAGCTGCATGGCTGCTGGCAGAGTGACTCATCCAGCCTGAGGAGAAGGAGAGTGTCTGTCGGTCCATCTGTGCCTGAGATACTAAGGCAGCCATGGCTGATCTTGTAATGATGATGAAACTAGTTGCTACAGACTCAGTGAATTTTTACCCCAACTTTACCTCAACTTCAACATCTCTCTTGAAAGGGACTGTGCTGCTGAATGTGAGCCTCAGGTAGGAACTGATGTAATGAGGAGAAGTTTTCTAGGTGATGGTTCAATTTCAAAATTCTTTCAGATTATAAAAAGAACGTTAACAAACAAAGAAACAATGAGAAGTTCTAAGGATGAATGCAGTTGGCTGGATATGTTGTAAAGGAATTTGGCCCTGAAAGAAAACCTCATAATGGGGTTGTTTGTCTTCCTGAAATGCAGCTGTGTGAGTTCTTTATGTATTTTGGAGATCAAACCCTTGTCCGAGGTATCATTGGCAAATATGTTTTCCCATATGGTTGGTTCCCTTTCATTTTGCTGGTGTTTTCTTTTCTTCAGGTTTAGCAATAATTTCATGGGTGTGACACTAAAATCACAGGCAACAAAGAAAAAAGGAAAGTCCCTCAGAGGAGGCAGCTGTGGCACCACCAATAAACCCTGTGTTCTTCTCTGTTTCTCAGCTTCTGCTCAGGGAGAACATCTGTGGGTCACCTTTGCAGAGTGTGAGCTGGTGAAACCCTCCCACTTAGCACGTTTGTGACCATACACCCCCAAGGAGGCCATGTGCTGTGACAGGGCAGGTTCTTTGTTGCCAAGAACAGGAGACTGACTGAATTTGAGGTCAGGACAAGAAGAATGGGGACAGGGAAGCTGAACAACTGAGACTAAAATGGGGGTGACAGGAATGAATCTCAGAGGGAGAAGTGGAAGGAAAGGAGGAGGAAGAGAGAAGAGACATCAGAGGGTGGAGAGGAGCTGGGAATGACAAACTCTGTCTGTGCTTCTGTAAATCTCAAATCTACATCCATGACCCAGGCATTTCCCTGAACTCTGGGCTGTATGTCCAGCTGCCCACACTATGTGTTCCTTCTATGGAAATAAACACCTTACAGTTAACATGTCCAAAGTGAATTCCTGAGTTTCCCCCACAGCTCTCTCCATCTCACCTGAGCCACCTTCATTCTTCCAGATGCTCAGGTCACCAACACATGGAGTCTTGCTCTCCCTGTTCCTGAATCCTGTGCATCAGAAACCCTGTGGCTCCACTTCTGCATGCACCCAAGTCTCCAACTTCCCCCTGACTCTACTGGCTACTGCCCTGGTACAAGTCATTTATTTGCATAACTGCTCTGTTACTTCTCTCTGTCTCCTCTTGGAGTCTATTCTCAGCCAAGTGCTATGATAATTCAAAACTTATGTCAGATTAGATCACTTCTTTCTTCAAAACCTTGCACAAAGCAGGAAGATTCTACTCTCATGGCCTTTGCACGTGCTGTTGCCTGACAGGAAGGCTCTTTCCTGAGATGACACCATGGCTCGCTCCCGACCTTCTGTTAATCTGGCTCAAACCTCACTTTCTCAAGGATGCTCACCCAGACTACATGGTTTAAAGTTCATAGCACCTTGGAGATTCCCCCAATTCTCCTATTTAACAATACTTTAATTTCCTACTAAATATTATTTTCTAATATTCTATATTATCTATCTTTATTCTGTCTATTGTTTACTGTCATTTCCCCACTGGGATACAAGCTCCATGAGGGCAGCTACCTTGTCTCTTTTATTCATCAGCACACACAGAGTTCCCATAATGTACCTGGTACATCATACAAATCCAATAAATATTTGAATTATGTGTGGGAATTGCCCAGTCAGACTCCTCCTGGAAATCTTGAAGCCTATTTTAAGTCAGCAAATCAATAGCATTTAATGTCGGAAACTGAGTTTCCCAACTAGGTGATGTGGTGAAAAACAAAAGCATCTGGTCATGTGCAGGAAGAGGAATAACCCAGGAGAGAGAACCACAAACCTCTCCCCCAGCACCCACCCCTCCTCACACCCACTGGTCCAATGGAACACATCTCATGGGATGGATGTGGCATAACAGGGACACCTGTGAGCTCTAGGATGAGACTGTTTGGGGTCAAATATTGGATAAATCACCTACTGTTGAGTGACCTTAAACCCCTCTGTGCTTCTCTGTTCTCTTCTATAGGTACAGGTGACAAGAGGACCTGCTTTAGATATAATGACCACGTCAGAGAGCACATGCAGGAATTTCCAACATATCTGCACGTGGTGAGATTTTAAACAATTGAAAGTGTGTTACTCATCATACTTCCTGGAGCTCTGATGCTTCATCTGACATTAGAGGATGTAGATGTAGATATGGATATTGATATAGGTAGATATATTGATATTGATATCGATACAATTATAGATGCAGACCATACAGGGAGGCATCTCTGTATTTGTTATCCACTTCTTTCTGCTTCATTCCCGTCCCGTATAAAAGAAGGAATCCAATATAATAATGCACACTTGTACTCATTTTACCAAGAGAGAAGCTTGCTTGTCTTAAGAATTCAGGGAAAGTAAAGGGTAAGTATACGGAAGTAGAAAGGAAGGAGGCAACAGGGAGAAACAAACATCTGTTCATGTGCATTTCCTGTAGACTGACAAGGGCTTGAATTAAACAGCAAGAAAAGACTTTTCAAAAATCTCATGTGTCTGTGTGCATGCACTTACACCAACTGTACACACAAACATGCATGGGTATATATGTCACGAATATATATGGAAGTGTGGCCTTGCATTCCAGTCACAGGTTGTTTTGAAGATTAAATTAAATGGTTATACATATTAAATGCTAAGAACATGCTTGGTAGACAGGCACCATGCCACACATCACTAACAGAAGTTCCTGAGTAAACAGCAGAACCTGAACTCTGGGACTCTGAGTGGCCTGATGGGAGATGACTGTTCTTCCTCTTTGCTCTCTGTGATTTCTGATTTCTCTGCAATCAGCCTCCACTGAGAAGCTGAGCAGCATCACATGATTAAAAGATGAGCTTTGCAGCTGCTGGGCCTGTACTTGAACCCGGCTGAACCACTGCCTCACATAGGTGTCGTTGCCAATTTATTCTTTCTGCCTCCATTCCCTCATCTGCAATCAGGGATAAAAGTCTTAGTTCTCACACAGTCATATTATGAGGATTAGAGGGGTTAATACTGTCACAGTTGTGGTTTGAAGCATCATCTGTTTTAATGCCTCTAGTAAACAGGTGCAGACAATGAATCCACAGAGGACACTCCCAGATCCCAGATTTCATGCTCTGAGATAATGCCCTGTCCTTGGCCTTCTGTGAAAACACTGGGTGATGCACCCTGCTTTCCTGGAGGCCCTAAAATTTCTGAAGGTCAGGAAGAGGTCCAGGGGCAGAGACAGGAGATTCCATCCCAAGACATGCTCACCTGTGAGGCCCAGCAGCAGAGTCAGCAGCAGGCAGAGAGGAGGGAGGTACCAGGAGGCAGGGACCAGCATCCTGGAGGCCTGAGGAGTCTGCTCTGTCCCACTGTGCTCTGGGAGAGCTGGACTGTGCTCTGTGGGAGGGGAGTGGCCCCACATTGCAGGATGTAAGAGGAAGTGCCCAGGATGGGGTGTAATGGCTGTGAGATGGTGGCCTGCTTCTAGATCCAAGACAGTTTCTATTTCCAGATTGTGGAATAGAATGAGGAAGAGAAGGCAAATACAGGGTGAGGATTTACTCATCTTAGTTGTCAAAGAGACTTGGACATGCCTACAGGAAATAATGCTTCCTCCTTCCTGGGGCCATTGCTCCCCACTGGGCACCCCGCCTCATCTGGGATCTTCACAGTGATGCCCCACTTCGGGCCCAGGACAGGAAGTGTCTGTGGTTGTGGACTGTGTCCCAAAATCTCAAGCTATGAGCCTTAAGATGTATGGCCCTTGGCCACATCTGCACCAGTCTCACTAGGAGCTACACTGGTGGAGGGAGGAAGAGGGTTCACCAGAGTTCACCAGGTTTCACCAGGGTTCTGGCCAACATTGGGACGGAAGCAGGTCTGGTCCTGAATGACTCCCTGTACCTAACCTTTATTGATGGGACTGGTAAAACATAGCCCAATGGCTAGTGTGTTCTGGACCTCAGAACTTGTATGTGCTTCCATCCAGGAAAAGAAATAATATCCTGACTTCTTTCAAAAGAAAGGAGGGATTATGAGACCCAGTGTTTGATTCCCAGGCATTTATCTCAGTGATGAAATTTATGTTACAACCAAAACCCTCTGTGCTAGTGTTTATAGCAGCTTTCTCTGTAATAGCAGCAAAAAATCAAATAGGTCCAATAATAAGTGAACAGTTAATCAAACTATAATACCTTGTAATGTCTTCATACAAGGACATGCAACAACTTGTAAGTTTCTCAATGACATTATTTTGGGTAAATAAAGTAAATCTCAAAAGTCTCACACCCTATGTGATTCCTCCTCTAGCGCATTCTCAAAATTATGAAATGGAGATAAGATGGGCATTTGAGGGATCTGGTGAGGTGGAGATGGGGTCACTGTAAAGGTGAGCACAGGGACTTCTGTGGTCGTGGAATTGCTCTGCATCCTGGTCATGGTGGTGGTGACACAAACATACACCTGAGGGGCCAACATAGCACAACTGAAAATGTTACAAGATTTACTTGTAAGTATCAACCTCATAGTCATTGTAATAAAGACACGGACTACTCAGTTATCCAAAGTTATACTGCAATGATTTTGGGGTGATGGGACTAGAAATGTGCATGTGTGGCATGAGGTCAGGAGTAACAGCACCTTATATCCCATCTTCCTTAGCGGGACATCCACACATAAATCCTGAGTGTCAGAGATCAAGAAGTGCATTAGAAGTTCGCTGTATGTATTGTAACAGTAAACTCTAAAATAATCAGTTCACAGAGTGGAGAATGGTTGCTTCTTGGAAGTAGGAAACAGTGGGTGGCTCAGGAGACTCCAGTTTTCACATGTAGAACTTGTAGAACTCTTTGATTCTTTAAACACATGCACATGTAACTTAGATAAAGGTTGAAACTAATGATAGATCATTACTGTCTAAAGTGTTGCAAATAAAAAGTGTACATACTGTTAGCACTAGTAAGGGTTCATAAGCTTAGTGGAATATAGAATGATGATTGAAATCAATTGCCATCCTAAAGAGTAGTCAAAAAACACTGAAAATAGTAATTATTACTTGTAAAGATCTCATGAAATAGAAAGTGTTAAATGTAGCTCTAAGTTGGAGATGCATAAGACCATTAATGGGAAAAACCATGTAAAATTGTGAATTGAAAGTCATAAATGTAAACCTATGTAGATGTCCATCTTACAACAGAAAATGATAGAGCACGGAAAAGTAATCAAGTGCAGCTAAATATGTCAACATTATGAAAACTCACAAAACTGTGTTAAACACAAAAATAAAATTTCAGAATGTTGTATATAGTAGAATAGCATTTAAATAAAATTTATAACATGCAAAGTAATATGATATATTGCTTAAATATTTACATATATATTGTAAAAGCATAAAATCATACTTGAGATTAATAACATAAAATTGAGAACAGGTTTTTCAAAATGAACACAAATCATAAGGCTGAATGTAACCATTTTGCAAAGATAGGGTGGTGCATCCATGGGTTTTTTTACATATTCCTTATATAGTGAGAATACGAGAATGTTTAATCTGCTGAGTGATTTGAAGTGTCTATGTGCTACAATGATATCATACTTGTAAAATCTCTGGATAAAGTAAAATCTTCTCTGAATATTAAAGGTTGTTTACAATAAAAAAGAATGGAAATCCTGTTGCCTTGCTCTGAGTGGGCCTCTTTTGGGTGGAGGCAGGGCCAGTTTGAAGCTCAGTGCATCTAGGTCCAGACATCTCAGAACCCAATGACCAAAGTCCATCCTTGACTCATCCTCATTGTCAGAGAGCAGGACCCTCAGGAAGGTGTGTGCAGGAGCATGTTCCTGGCTCAGGTGGGGCTGGTAGAGTGAAGGCCTGGGTCTTGGGTTACCTGCAGGTCCTTGCAGCTTCTTCTCGCCAATGGAGTCCCTTGGAGAAGGCAGAAGACAAGGTGTCATAGGGCATGGAAAGATGGAGGGAAATTCATTCATTCATTCACTCCTGTATTATTTTCACAAATATTTATTGAGCACATACTAAGTGGCAAGCACTTTGGCCTGGGTTGGTGGCACAGATCACAAATCAAACCTACTCAGTTTACCTGAACCCCTCCCCTGAGTTCTGCTCCCCCTTTCATTCCTACATTCGTCTTCACCACTGGTCAGCACCCCCAAGTCTCTCAGGTTGTATTGGTTGATTTTAGTTCTACTTTTTTGTTCATACGAAAACATATATCATATGAACACTGAAATATACAGCAGTTTATGGAGGACTGTTTTTAGTTTGGGTCTCAGAGCTTTGACCTTTATCCCACCTCCACATTTAGACCACCATTGCCAGGGTCCCAGGGCACTTAGTTTGAAAACCTTCAAAATCCAAGATATGATACAAGGTGGAAGAGTTGGAAGCCTCTGAGATTCCAAAGATATCTAGAGAAAATAAAAGCTCTCACAACCTTCTCATGAGGCTGAATCAATCTTGTGGTGACCATGTGACCATGCAGCCACACCCTGGGCTTCTCCTGACAGCCCATGAGGTTTGCCCTGACCCTTCTCTTTAAGGACTAAGGCCTGCCTTCAACTCACCTGTTACAGGTTCCACCACCTGCGGATGTAGGTGACTGTGAAGCTCATCACCAGCACCACTTTGAGGCCCAGGAGGAACACCACAAAAATAATGGCAGATGTCTCTGGACCTGAACACCAATGGGCAGAAGAAGACATCAAATGGAGCTCTGTGAGTTTAAATATCTCACAGCACTCAGGTGACAGAGGTGACCCAGCTGCTCACAGGAGTGGAGGTGAGTGAGTTTCCATGCACTCCCAATAGGTTCTATGTGGTGTGGCTGCTGTGGACAGTATGAGGCTGACTGTATTGGAGGATGTACCTCATGCTGCACCATACAAGTGAGCACTGCTCAGACTCTTGGAATGACACATTCATCCACTGCAAGCTTTCCAGGCAATAGGTGCCATTACTTTTCTCCATAGACACAGGTTACTCAGCTCCCTTGAACATATGATAGTTCTCCAGCCAGGTGAGATGTACACTCTGTGGGTAGAATCTCTTCACCAGGCAGGTAAGAGCCACCAAGTCTGAGGAGAATGAAGACTGGGAACACTGACACTGCAGAGGGCACTGACACAGCACAGAGAAAGCAAACAATTACTGTAGGAAGTCCACTGTGGGAGAGTGGGAGCTCATTAAGGATTGGGTCATGTGCCAGGGCCTGGTACAGAGGAGGAGGTAGGCATTGGTTAACAGCTGTATGCCTAAGTAAATGCACGATTGAATGAGAGTGTGAATGCATGAGTGAATGCATGCTGGGATGGATGGATGGATGGAAGGATGGATGAAAGGAAGGAAGAATGAATGGGAATCTGAATGGGACCACAGACATCCTACTCTTTTCTTTCTTTTCCAATTTGGAATCTGGTCACAGATTACAAGATGATATACACTTAAGGACATTGTGCTAAGTAAAATAGGCCAGCCACCAAATAATAAATACTGCATGGTTTTACTTATATACATATCAAAAGGTGTCATACTCGGGGAGACTCTCCCCTAGAGCCTCCAGAAGGACTCAGCCCTGCCCACCCCTTGCAGACTTCTGACCTCTAGGACTGCAAGATAATAAATTAGTCTTGTGTTAAGCCACGAACCATGTAATTACAGTGTCAATAGAAATCTGATTCAGAGACTCAGGAACATTTAAAGAGGACAGATGTAATTAAAGGGCCAGATACAATTTAAAGTTCATAACTTGTGACTTTGGTTAAGATGGTGAAATAAGTAAATGCAGTACACGCATCTTCTTATGAATACATCAAAATTACAACTAAACTGCGGAACAGTCATCATTTAGAACCACCTGGCTCCCATTCTTGTGAGAGAAACAGAAATGTGGAATGGACTGGTCACACACCCATGTGTGGTGGGTAAAACATTTTGGAGGGATACAGATTGTGGAGGTTCTCCCTGAGGAGCAATGAGTCCCTGACCCGCACAAGGCCAGCTGCCCCAGAAATGCAGTCCTGGAAGAGAGTTCCATTAACTTCCTTCTGTGAAAACCAGCAGGGATTGTGGCTGAGAGAGACAGAGAGTGACTGGAGTCCCAGGCATTCTTCTTTTTATTTTTAAATAATAATTCTTTAAATATTATTTTAACCATTTTTTGAGTTTATTGGGGTGACAGAGAAAGAGAAATACCATGTGATTTCACAAATACATATAAAATCTAGTGAACAAAATAATCTAACAAACAAAATAGAAACCAGGCATCCCTCTTAAAGGGCCCACACCCAGACTTAACTAGACTCACTCTCTCAGAGCTCCAGCACTGGGGCAGCAGCTTCAAAGGTGCCAGGGCATGGGAAGAACTGAAATGTCTGGCTTTGTAGCAAGGCTAGAGAGGCAGCTTTTTGCTAGACAGAAATGTTGGCAGATGCCATTGACCTCTGCTAAGCCCTCCCCTGCTGGCACAGGTGACCACTATATCTGAGTCTCCATCAACCTGGCTAACATTGTTAGCCCCTCCCTGGTGAGTCCCTGAGACCCCAGCCCACACAAATTGTGCGCCTACCTGGGACATTTCTAGGGTTTTCCTTAGAAATGGCCTATCTTGGCTTATTCTTCAGACTTGTCTGAAATCTCTCAAAGGTCCACAAACCCCTAATAAGCTGAATCTGGCCTCAGTGTGCCCCAAACCTTGCTACGTGGCTCCAGGCCCAGCATTAGTGGCAGCCAGTTTCAGTGTGCAGCTGGGCCTCTCCCAGGCACCTCCAAGCCCAGCACAAGTAGCAATCATCTGCAAATTATTTTGTACCTCATGCCAGGTAGTTACAAGATGGGCCCAGACAGTGGTTGATCTTCTCTGCACCTCCAGAAAGACCCCAGAGCCAGAAATCCAGTAAACAGCTTTAGACAACAAAGGAATACAATCCAACCATCTCCAATATTGAGAGGTGGGCTCACTGGGCACCAGAGCCCCAGTGAAGTGAATCCCACTCTGTGGGGTCAGCCTCTGCACAGCAGCTCCTTTGCTGTAGTCACAGACAGCCCTTACAGTTGATTGGTCTGGGGACAGGTTCCTGCCATTGATGTATCAACATCAATCAAAGCTCAACCACAACAGCAGGATGCACACATCCCACACTGGGGGTGCACCTAGAGCAGAGGGTAGGGTGACCAGGAAGGCTGCAGCACTGGGCACTGCAGGACACTTACTACATAAGGCCACTCTACAAAGACTGGGAGACATAGCAGCTCTACCTAATCTCTAGAAACAAACACAGGGAGGAATCCAGAATGAGGAGAAGAAGAAACATGTACCAAATAAGAGAACATAACAAAACTCCAGAAAAAACCCCACAAAAAATGGAGACAAGCAATCTACTAGATGTAGAGTTCAAACACTGGTTATAAAAATGCTCAGTGAACTTAGGGGGAGAGTAGGTGAACTTAGTGAGCACTTCAATAAAGGGATAGGAAACATAAAAATAAGAGTAGAGTTCCTGGCTGGGTGGCTAAGTTACTTGGAATGTCATCCCATGAAACAAAAGTTTTCAGGTTTGATTCCCAGCCACGGTACATACCTAGATTGTGGGTTCAGTTTCCAGTTGGGGCATATATAAAAGGCAACTGATTGATGTTTGCCTTTCATATTGATGTTTCTCTATCTCTTTCTCCCTCCTTACTTTCAAAAATCAATAAATATATTCCTGGGTGAGGATTTTTTAAAAAAGTAAAGATAGAAAACATTCAAAAAGTCAGAAATGAAGATATGATTAACCAAAATGAAGAATACATTATAAGAAATCAATAGTACAGTAGATAAAGCTGAAGCTCAAATCAATGATTTTAAAAATAAGAAAGCAGAAAACACCTATTCAGAATAGCAAAAAGAAAAAGAGTAAAAAAAACCAGCGGAGATAGTTTAAAGGCCTCTGGAACTACTTCTGGTATACCAACATTTGTATCATAGTGGTTTCAGAAGGAAAAGGGAGAAAGCAAGAAATAGAAAATTTATTTGAAAAAAAATGACAAAAGACTTCCTTAACCTGGTGAAGAAAATAGACAAGCAAGTTAGGAAGCACAGAGAGACCCAAACCAGATGGACCCAAAGAGGTCCACTCCAAGATACATCAAATTAAAATGCTGGAAGTTAAATATAATAAGACTCTTAAAAACAGTAAAAGAAAAGCAGTTAGTTTATTTGAGAAGGGAGCTCTCATAAGACTCTCTCAGCTGATTTTCAACAGAAACTTTGCAGGCCAGAAGAAATTGGCATGAAATATTCAATGTGATGAAAAACAAAACAAAACAAAATAAAACAAAACCAAAGTGATGAAAAGCAAGGACCTACGACTTGATTACTCCACCCAGCAGAACTATCATGGACAGATAAAGAGCTTCCCAGACAAGAAAAGGCTAAAGGAGTGTATCACCACCAAACTGGCACTATAAGGAATAAAAGGTATTCTTTAATAAGAATAAGGAAAAAAATAAAAAACTATGAAAAATAAAATGGCAATAAATATATATCTATAACAATTACTTTAAGTGCAAATGGATTACCTGCTCCAATCAAAAGACATGCAGTGCCTGAATGGATAAGAAAACAAGACCCTTACATATGCTGTCTACCAGAGACTCACCTCAGATTAAAAGACACACACAGACTGAAAGTAAAGGGAAAGAAAAAGATATTTCATGAAAATGGAAACAAAAGAAAACAAAACAAGCAGGGACAGCAATACTTAGACTAGACAAAATAGACTTTAAAACACAGGTTGCAAACACAAGGCCCATGAGCCAAATCCGGCCCTCCACCTTGTTTCTACCTGGCAGCAGTACTGAGCTCCTTGCCCCTAGTTAAGGAGTAGTTACATCTATACAGTCCTAAAATTACACTGGGCCCTTTGAAGGCAACCTCGATGCTGATGTGGCCCCCAGTGAAAATGAGTTCAACACCCCTGCTTTAAAACAAAGGCTACAACAAGAGACAACAAAGGACCTGCAAATTCCACTTCTGAGTATTTATTTGGAGAACCCACAACACTAAATTGGAAAGACATATGCATCCATATGTTCACTGCAGCATTATTGACAATAGCCAAGATATGGAAGCAACCTAAGTGTTCACCAGGAAGTGGATGGATAAAGAAGTGGTGCATATATAAATGAAATATGACTCAGCCATAAAAAGTGAATGATATCTTGCCATTTGTAACCTCATGGATGGATGGAGAGGGTATTATGCTGAATGAAATATAACAGACAGAGAAAGACAAATGCCATATGATTTCACTTATATGTGGAATCTAATAAACAAACAAACAAACAAACCAGGGACAGACCAACAGATACAGGAAGCATTTTGATTGGAGGTGTTTTGGGGAGATGAGTGATAAAGGTGAGGGGGTTAAGAAGTACAAATTGATAGTTACAGAATAGTCATGGGGTGTAAATTATATATAATATTGCAATAATTAGGTATCATGTCATGGGTGCTAGATTTATCCAGGTGATCACTTTGTATGTTATATAAATGTCTAGTCACTGGGTTGTACACCTGAAACTAATATAATATTGTATGTGAGGTGTAATCCAAAAAAAACCCTTATTTAAAAAATAAAGTACATAACTTTGGGGTATGGGAAGGCAAGAAAGAAGGAAGAAGTGTGTTTTACAACTGAGTGGTGAAGAGAAAAAAGAAAAAGGGGGGAGGGAAATTGAGGGTCTTGAAAGCGAAAAGAGAGTCAAAATATTGGAGGACTCAGAATCTTTCTCCCACTATCATAACTAACTAATTAACTCCATCAACATACATGGATTAATCTACACTGACAGAAAGAGGCCCATAACCCAGATGCATTATTAAACACCACAGCATTATATAAACATGACCAAAACATTGTGCATCCTCGCACTAAGCCCACTGCACCAGGACTGCAGTGACCAGAGACCTCAGATTCCATGCAGGGTGTGGCCTTGTAGTCCAGAGGGTCACACAGGCCCTTCCACGTTGCTCCACTGGCTACCCAGACAAACTAAACACCATCCTCACTCTCCTACTCTGTAGATGTGCTGGGTCACATGCATTGAGAGCACAGGGAGGTAACAGGCTGGTCTGAGCAGCCACAGGAGATGAGACTCAAAGCACCCGAGGGGGCTCCAGACCAGATGGTGCAGACACAGCTCTCCTGCTGTCCCCGCTCAGTGCAGCTCCGACCCCTAGAGATGACACCAGGTACAAGGTACACGCAGACGAGGACTCTGAGCGATGGAAGGGGGAGGCAGACAGGCTCGAGGGACCTGAGGACTGGAGGAAGAACAGAGTGACAGGCTTCAGAGGCTGCATTCCCCTGATATCCAGGCACAGAAGGCAACTCAGGTGTGGCTTAAGAAAGAGAAAAATGCTAAAATCAGTGATCTATATTTCCTTCACAAGAAACAAGAAATAAGAAATGGGGGAGCAAAGTCAACCCAAAGGGCGGAAGGAAGGAATTTGTGAAGTAAAGGGGGAAAATCAGTGAAATTGAAAACAGAGAAACAGTAGAGAAAAATCACTGAAACAAAAAGCAGATTCCTTGAAAAAAGCCGTAAAATTGAAACCTTTATCAAGACTGACAAATAAAAATAGAGAAATGACACATTTCCAATACCAGACACAACACTGGGGATGTCACAGACCCTGCATCATCAGAAGGACACTAAGGGAATAGTATTACCATCCCCACAGGCAAACATTTGTGATGACTGCTGGTTCATTGTCACAACACTGGGGAAAAGGAGGCCTGTGCTGTGACCACCCACGGTCACTTGGATGACTGTCCTGATTCAAACTCCACGTCCTCGGGGCTCCCCCTCTGGAATTTCACAGAGAGCAGGTTCAGGATTTGCTGGGTGACTTTACTGACGTGGATGGAAAAATCTAGGTTGGAATGGAGACCAGGAGGAGGTTGGAAAGAGCAAGGAGGAGGGAGGGGCTGATGTGAACAGTGGATACAATGACCATTAGGAGAAGGAAGGGAGAGGCAGGACACTGTGAACACACGACCTCCATCCCTCCCTCTTTCTTTAATGTATATTGATGTCAAAAACATCTATAAATACATGTATCAAACTCTTACCAGTGGTAACTCAGAGTGTGGTGTTTGTGAGAGGGGAGCTCACTCAAAAATTTCTTGTATTGATAGACTTCTAGAATATTCCATAATAAGCATAAATTCCTATTCTTAACATTACAAAAAAATTAAAGTACCTGGGTTCAGTTTGGGTAGAGTTCTCACCAGAGTGTCCATCTGATCTCTGGCCCTTCTGATGAGTGGATGCCTCCAGGGTGAGGTTCCTGCTGACGGCCGGCTGCCCATCGTGCTGCACCAGACAGGTGAGCACCATGGCCTCCCTGAGGACAGATGAATTCACCAGGAGACAGCTCCTCCAGTTGAAGGTCCCATCCTTGTTTTCTATGTGGATTGAAGGCACTTCTGTTTGGGACATTTTTTCATTCTTCAACCAGCTGAGCTGTAAGTGCTGGGGGTAAAAGTTCTTCACTTGGCAGGTGACCACATCTACCTGGTTCTCTGACATGGCATGTTGGGAAACCTCCAAGGTGGGCGGAACTGAAACAGCACAGGGCAGAAGCTCTGACCTCATGGGACACAGATCACAGAGGATCCCCATAACCTTGCTCCCCCACCACAGCAAGGGTGTAATTCAGGACAGGTGTAGGGTGGTAGGTATGCAGCAGGTGCTCAGAACTCAGAGTTCTCTTTGCATATGAATGAAATCACTAAGCTCAATACCCTGCACACAGCAGGTGCTCAAGAACTAATAGTCCTACTAGGGTAATATGACTGAAGTCTACAAGCACAGCCTTGCATGCAGTTGGAACATAATAACTGTAGCAAAATAAATGAGTACACCAAGTGCATAGTAGCTTGGTTTATAGTAGGTACTCAGGTATTGGAGTTGTGCAGTTCTTTAGAATGTGTGTGAAATGTGGTAGATTCTTTCCCTGTTAAGGAACAAAACAAAACACAAATGCAAAAAAATATACTCTTTCATCATCTGTTTTTTTCATCTATTGCTAAAGCAGATGAGACTACCAAGTACAGTGGGAGGTGTTCACCAGGTAACTGCCATTAAACAGCAGTGAGTGACAGGCACATCCAGGTGTTGGTGATGGGAAGGACTATCAGGAATTAGATTCCAGGGAAATTAAGTTGGAGTAAATGGCAGGGGGAGGAGCAGGCTTAGAGGGAAGGAGCCATGTATGGGCTTGGGCTGGGTGTGAGGGGCATCTACCTCGAATGGTCTCAGACAGGTTGGCAGTCCCACGAAGAGGAGGGACCCCCTTCAGGGTGACATGGTCCACCTGGCAGATGACCTGGGAGCGGACATCCCCCTGGGCCAGCTGCACCCTGGCTGTGCTGGAGATGCTGTAGGAAGGGCTGTCTCCCTCTGGGTCCACAGTGGGCTGGGAGGCTGGGAGCTCATTCCCGTCTTTGAACCATCTCAGGACAATGTTCCTGGGGGAGAAGCTGTGGGACTCGCAGGTGAAGCTCACTGTCTGTCCAGGTGTGGCCCTGCCTGTAGGGGCTGACACCACAGGGGGAGAGGGTTGGGCTATAAAAGGAGCACAATGAACAATGAACATGACAGTGACCATCGATGACAAGCATGTGACTGTTAAACACCTTTTCATGTATTACTTTTTATCCTCTAACAAAGCTGGGAGGGCATGTCATCATCCTCATCCTACAGAGCAGGACACTCAGGTCCTTGGAGATGAAATGTGAGTGAGAGGCTGGCCCATGAACAGCTCTAGGCCTGAGTTCAAAGCCCACCTGTATCTCTTATCAAGTGATTTCTCACCAATCTGGGCACAGGAATAAAATTGCTGATCAGACTAATTTGTACTGTTTTTTAAAATTATAATTTATTGATTATGCTATTACAGTTGTCTTATTACCCCCCATTTGCCCCCATCTATCCAGCAGCCCCCCCTCCCTCAGGCAATCCCGCCAGCATTGTTCATGTCCATGGGTCATGCATTGATTCTTTGGCTTCTCCATTTCCTATACTGTATTTCACATCCCCATGGATATTCTGTAACTACCTATTTGTACTTCTTAATCCCCTCAACTCTTCACCCATTCCCCTGCACCCTCCTCCCATCTGACAACCTACAAAGTGCTTTCCATATCCATGATTCTGTCTCTGCTCTTGTTTTTACAGGTTGTTGTTTAGATTCAGTTATTGGTAGATGTGTATTTGTTGCCATTTTATTGTTCATAGTTTTGACCTTCTTTTACTTAAATAAGTCCATTTAACATTTCATGTAATAATGGTTTGGTGATGATGAACTCCTTCAGTTTTATCTTGTCTGGGAAGTCTTTATCTGCCCTTCAATTCTAAATGATAGTTTTGCTGAGTAGAACAATCTTGGCTGTAGGTTCCTGCTTTTGCTTTTCATGACTATGAATATTTCTTGTTGATACCTTCTAGCCTGCAAAGATTCTTTTGCGAAATCAGCTGACAGTCTTAGGGGAACACCCCTGTAGGTAACTAACTGCTTTTCTCTTGCTGCTTTTAAGAATCCCCCTTTATCTTTAAACTTTAGTGTTTTAATTATGATGTGTCTTGGAGTGGGCCTCTTTGCCTTCCAATTGTTTGGGAATCTCTGTGATTCCTGGATTTGCATATCTATTTCCTTCACCAAATTGGGGACTTTTCTTTCATTATTTTTTCAAATAGATTTCCAATTTCTTGCTCTTTGTCTTTTCTTTCTGGCACCCCCTCTGATGTGAATGTTGGAATGCTTGCAGTTTCCCCAGAGGCTGCTTACACTATTGTTGTTATTTTGGATTCTTTTTCTTCTTATTATTCTGATTGGTTGTTGTTTGCTTCCTTATGCTCCAAATCATTGGTTTGATTTGAGGCTTCATCTACTCTACTGTTGTTTCCCTGCAAATTGTTCTTTATTTCAATTAGAGTATCCTTCATTTCTGACTGGATCTTTTTTTATGCTGCTAAGGTCCTTTCTGTGTTCCTTGAGCATCTTTATAACCAGTGTTTTGAACTTTGCACTTGACTGTTTATCTCCATTTTGTTTATTTTTTTTTTCTGGAGAGTTGATCTGTTTTTTTATTTGGGCCATGTTTCTTTGTCTCTTCATTCTGGCAGCTTCCTTGTGTTTGTTTGTATGTATTAGGTAGAGCTGCTATGACTCCCTGTTTTGGTAGCATGGCCTAATGTATTAGGTGTCCTGTAGGGTCCAGTGGCACAGCCTCCCCATCACCCAAGCTGAATACTCAAGGTTTACCCTTTGTGTGGGCTGAGTACATCCTCCTCTTGCAGTTGAGCCTTGATTGCTGATGGCAGGCCAATGGGAGTGATTTACCCAGGCCAGTCAGCTGCAAGGATTGGCTGTGATGACTGACCACCAACCTCCACATTCCATGGAAGATCAGCTGTTCAGGGGCAGGGTGTCGGTGCTCCAATGTGGCTGTCCAGTGGGTGCACTGGCCCTGGGTGTATTGGCCCTGGGGTTTCCTGTGTAGTGCAGGCCAAGGTCCTCCTCCCACCTGTGTTTTGCCTGGAACCGCCCTGCCAGAGCTATAAAACAATCTGAGGTGGCTGCTACTTGTGTTTGGCTTGGAGATTTCCAGGTGAAACCAACCTGTGATTCTAGGCTGGCTGCTGCTAGTGCCAGGTCTGGGGCCACTTAGCAAGAGGTACAGGGGCTGGGGGTGCTCACTGAGGCCAGCTGTTGCTTGTTTGAGAGGATTTAGAAAGTTTTGAAGCATGAACCAAGACCTATGACAGCTATTCATATAGAAAAGCAGCTGGGGTGGGCCCTTATGTTGGGTGTGATGGAGTCTCTGGGGATCTCCAGGGTGGGACAAACAGTGTTAGTTAGCCAGGTTGATGGAGTCCCAGATATGGCACCCACCTGCTGGCTCTGTGGCTTTGTGGGGGAGGGTTCAGAAAAGGGTAATGGCTTCTGCCTACCCTTCTGTGTGGGAGAAAGCTGTCCCCCAGCTCTTGCCTTGATTCCAGACACTTGAGTTTCACTCTGTGTGTCACTGGTGCCTTTCAAGTAGCTGCCCTAGTGCTGGAGCTCAGAGGGAGGGAGTTGGAGTTAGTCCATGTGTGGGTTCTCTTAGGAGTAACTGCTTAGGGCTCCAGAAGTTTCTTCTATTGACTTAATCCCCACTGGTTTCTTCAGCCAAAAGTTTTTGGGACTTATGTTCTTCACACTGAAACCCTCAGCTGGGGGACTGTTTTTGGTTTTGGACTCCTCACTCCTGAGATATCCTTCCCAAATTTTTATCCCCCACACCTGGATGTGGGACCCAGCTCATTCTGCTTCTCTGTTCCTCCCAGCACTCTGGCTGAATATGGTTTCTTTAATTCCATAGTTGTCAGACTTCCATTTAACCTGATTTCTGATGGTTCTCAGTGATAGTTGTTCCTGATTTTAGTTGTAATTTTGAGTTGGTTGTGCGAGGAGGCAAGGTGTTGACCTATGATGCCATCTTCACTGGAAGTTGTGCTGTTTATAGCTGACCTCCAATCCTTACAGAATGCTGAACAGGAGCCATGATTATCCAAATTCATCAAGTGGGGAAACTGAGGACTTGAGTGCACCCGAGACTTCCCAAGAGCACCCAGCTCTTGTGGGATGACAAGACCATGGCTCAGTGAGGGTCTGTTCTCTTACCAGGCTCATCTCATAACACCCTGTAAAGGTTGATTTGATTATATCATAAATATTCTCTTAACCAGTGATTTGATTAACATTACATTAAAATAGTATAGAAATTTTCTGGCAAACAAGGACCTGAAGCTTAGCAAAATTAACTGGGTCACAACATGGACATAACACCTGATTTTGGGGGACTACTCAGTGCTGGGTGACTCAGACAGAGCACCTCAAACCCTTTACAGTCTTCTAAAAAGCATCCATGATTGCCACCATTTTACAGATGAGAAAACTGAGGTTGAGAGAAACAATAATCTGTCACCTCTCCCACTACTATGTCCCAGAGCTGTTTCCTATGGCCCCCAAATGTTCATGACAATCAGCAGAGAAAGTGCCGACCTTCAGGAGCCTGTCACTTACTGCCACATGCTCCAGGGAGGAGTGGCTTCCAAGTGCCCAGGTCTGGAGACCCTGTACCAATAAATGGAAGAATGGTCTCCTGACAACTGGGTCTAGAATATGAACTCTTGCTCACCTGGGTTCCCAGTACTTTCTAGGAAATATCCCCCACCTCACCTTCAGTCTGTGGAGACAGGAAAAGGGATGCACAGTGTTGTTGGGGGTGCAGTGACCCTTCTTTGCTCTACCCAGGTCACTGTCCCCAGGCTGCTCCTGCAGGTGCTGAGTGAAGATAAAAGAGCATTTGGGGCTATACACATGAATGTTTTTATATGCTGAATCATGTCAGTTAGGAGTAGTTTCAGGACATGATGGGACATTTGAGTATCTGTCTCATTTAGGTTGTAAAGCTAGAGATGCCTCCCCCACAGGGCCTTCTTAAATTTTTATTTTTTGCTGAAGAACATAACAATATATGATTTTAAAGAAGAGAGTTGGAGCTTTCTCCTTACATTGACAAGAACAGTGGGATGGTGCAGAGAGCAGGGGCTGTGATTTCTGCTGCTTGGGGTTCCATTCTCAGTTCCTATTCCTGCTGAGTTCAGGTCTCTCTGTGAGCATCAGTGTCCTCATCTGGCAAAGGGGCAACAGATGGCCCCTCCTTCACAGCACTGTTTCTAAGGTAAATGCCATGATCAAAATATGGCCCCTGTCTCCCTCCTACCTACCTGCTTTCTCATCCAGGGTGTCATCTGGGCAGGCAGCTTAGGGAAAAGGAAGGAGCACTCTACCAGGAGACAGATGGAGTCACTTACTACCTGTGGTTGCCTAGGGAAGGGGCACCCCAGTGGGAACTTTTGCAATATCTGAAAATTTAGGATAAAGCCACCTTCCCTGCCTATGTCCAGGGGTTGTGGGAAGACCATTGCTACCATGTCTAGGAGGAAAATTGGCAATATCCACACAAAGTAAAATGCACGTACCCTCTGACCCAACAATGCCACTTCCAGGGGGCATCTCCCTCTTGGGCAAGTGACACACAGACAAGGTTATCCCCTGCACTACTGTTGAAATAGCCAGAGGTTGGGACCAACTTATATCCATCAGTAGATGGTCAGTGAATGTTGCTGTCTCCATACACTGGAGGGTGAGGCAGCTGTTGAAGAAGGGGCAGCTCTAGGTGCTGATGTGGATGCTTGATTTGGGGGATGAGGCTGAGGGTTGGGAGAGGATTTCAGTCATCTTGGGCTTCAGTACCTGAATGTGAGGGGCATGTGAAAACAATGAAAGGAATATTTTGGCTCCTTATTCAATGGTTTGTTGTAATTAGCTTTTATTGGCACCTACCATATGCCAAGACTTCCATGGAAAGAGGGTCCTATGACAGGGCAGGAAGGAACCTTCTAGGAATCAGATTGGGCTCTAGAATGATCTCATCACTCACTGGCCATGTGACCGTGGGCAAGGCCATTGTCACCTCTTAGCCTCAGGCTCCAAACTATACAAGGGGTGGGGTGAGGCTGGATGGTCTAAAGGTCCCTTGTGGAGACATCCCAGGATTCAGTATCCTGGGTCTCTGGGAAAAAACTGTCAATAAGCATTTTTGCTGTCTCAAAAGGAGGATACCTATGTCACCCACAGGGGGCACATCTTCTCAAAGTGAGGGACAGTCTGACAAAACTCTGCTCAGAGCCTAAGTGACAGTGTGACCGGGTCCCTGCAATAAAGGGGATTTATCAGACAGACCCACAGTGAGCGCCCAACCTCTGGCACCTCCCGCCTGCAGGGTTGGCAGAGCAAACAGGTACTCTGTTCCCCTTAGGGATGTCTTCTCCTGTGATGCTTCTGAGGAGGAAATAAAGAAACACGTCCCCCTCCCTGCCCTGCATGGATCTCTCCCAGCTGCAGGAGGAGAAGGAAGCTTCTTGGGAGAAGAGCTCTGCCTGCTCAGTCCCATTCAGGTCCCTCAGCACCCAGGGCGGAGCCCGGCTCCCAGCGGGTGTCAGTGAGTGTTAGTGAGGGGGGCTCGGCCACACTGAGGGGAGCGCTCTCTGGAGGCAGGGTGAGGCCTGACCTCGTGACGGACAAGTCCCTCAGACCTTCAGTTCCCTCATCCCTGGACAAGGGTCTGGATGAGATTGGAAAAGGCAAGGACAGAGAGGGGGGTCAAGCAAATGAGGGCTCCAGACTTTTCCCACCATTTGCCAGTCATGGGGCCTGAGAAGATAGTAGGACCTCTCCAGGCCTCAACTTCCCTGACCTGCAGGAGGGGTGACATCAGACCAGCAATCAGATCTTGAGTATAAGCGCCCATGATGACACCTGATTACTAGTTTGTGCTCTAAAAACAAAGTTTATTCTTATGGGCTTTTTGTCACACACCAGGGAAGAAGGATTCGCACTGTACTCACCACTCACGGTGAGCCGAGTGCCTGCTCCAGACTTGAGCTCTGTGTCAGGGCTTCCTTTGTGGAACTTCACACAGTAGTAGGTGCCCGTGTCTGCTGGGGTGATGTCACTGATGCGGATGGAATAGTCTATGTTGTTTCTCCTTGTTACATCTGCAGCAATATGTTACTCAGGGAGAGTGGCCTCTTTTTTGACTGTAGACTAACTCCCGGCCTGGCCCTGTCCCCCTGAACCACATGAAAGGCCCCACAGGGAGAACGGAGGTCACACTGCAGCTCAGAGTGGCCGTGTCTCCAGCTGCCACTGCCACTGACTTCTCAGGCTGAATCACCTTCAGCTCCTCACCTGCTCCTCCTGGAGGGAAACACAGAGGAGTTGTTCATACTCCATGTGTGATCCTGTGGGTTTTGTCAAGTGTTTATCAGAAACAGCTTTCTTTTTAATTTAATTTTATTATTTTGTTATTTTATTTTAATTGTTGTTCAAGTACAGTTTTCTGCCTTTTACTCCCATCCCAGCCCACCCCCCATTCCTCCCCACCTCCCTCCCGTTTCCACCCCCTCGTTTTTGTGCATGTGTCCTTTATACTTGTTCCTGTAAACCCTTCCCCTTTTCCTTTGAAATTTTCTCTCCTCTCCCTTCTGGTCACTGTCAGCCTATTCTCTATTTCAGTGTCTTTGGTTATATTTTGTTTGTTTGTTTGTATTGTTGATTAGGTTCCTGTTAAAGGTGAGATTACATGCTATTTGTCTTTCACTGCCTGGCTAATTTCTCAGCAACAGCTTTCATTGACTGAGTGCACACCCTCAGTGGGCCTGGAGTTCAGCACATTGCAATGTGTCATACATGTAACCTTCACAATAAGCTTGTAATGTGAGACCTTATTAGGAATGAGGAAACTGAGGCAGAGACAGGGAAAGGGATGTGGCCAAGAGTGGGTTTAAGTCTTTCCCTTCCAAGTGGTTCTTCCTGGTGCCATCAATGGAGGACATGTGCTGGGCCTTTTCCTGTGACACTTGGCTGCCCAGCTCTGCTGAGTGGCTGCTGGAGGTGTGACCCATGCAGGCTGAGGTGAAGGACGGCATCACCAGTCTGTCTGTGCCCGGGACGCTGAGGCAACCATGGCTGGTTTTCTGATGATGAGGAAATTAGTTTCAGAGAAATTCAGTATCTCTTGGAATAATATTTGTTTGCAGAGGACTGCAAAAGGAAAACCAGTTCTTGCAAAAGACTCACTGAATCCTTACTCCAATTTCAGCTTTAACGTCTCTCATGAAAGGGACTGTGCTGCACCTGCTGCTGAACCTGAGCTACAAGGTGGGATTGATACAGTGAACACTAGTTTTTCCAGGTCATGGTTCAATTTGAGAATCCTTTCATACTATGAAAAGAAAGTTTACCAATAAGTAATTAGAAGCAATCAGAAGATTTAAAGATTAATGAACTTGGGTGGGTATGTTTTACAGGGTTTGAGGGCACTGAAAGAAAGCCTCATAAAGGCCTCACAGGTGGTGGACTGGGATGTGAATTGCACAGCTTGAATTTGCTATGTCCCCACTAAACTTGGATACAGGCCAGGCTTATGAAGAAACACGTTAGGTTCTGGATGGAGTGTAAGAAAAGGAATGGGCATTTGAGGAGCACAGAATAATAGCACTGTGTTTCTCACTAGCTCTGAGCAAACCCAGTGGATCTGGACATCAGGGTGTTTCATCTCCAGATGAGTCTAGACCCTCCCCGGGCGGTTTACTGTTCTCACCCACAGGGACGCACGTCATCTGCAGTTCCTGTGGGCCCTGAAGGGCCTTCATTTTTGGATTCTTTTTGCTTCACAGAAAATATTCTGATATAAAATTGTACAAAGTCATGATATGATAAAGGGATAACATTTAATCCTTGATACACCCAGATATTATTTCACCAAACATTTTGAAATAGAAAAACACATCATTTCCTATTAGAAAATCACCCTCCCAATTCAACAAAGCTTAGCAGAATACATGTTCACCTTTTCTTCCTCCTCTGAATCAGGTTGAATAGACAGAAGAAATGGAAAAGGAGTGACGAGCTCTAAGTGACACAGGCATGATAGGTTCAGAGGTGTTGAGATTTTTGTGATCAAAAGGCAATGAGACCCTCCACCAGCAAAAAGATTATGACTCGCTTTATTAGGGAGGTCTGGCGCTGAACCCCCTATATCTCAGAGGCATGCCAGCACATAGTTGTTGTATAGAAACAAAATGCAAATATGCAAAGAGGAAACATTTAATTTCTGGCTTTCAGACAGAACTATATCAGAGATAACTCTTTCTAAAATCTTTTCTTGGCAAGTAAATCCATATTAACATACTTGTTTTTTAATAAAAAATGGAAGCATACTATTTTGTAATTTTTTTCCCTTAACTGTGCATTTACTACTCAGAAATACTTCTGTGGCATACATAACTTTCACTGGCTCTAAAGCACAGGTGGCAAACACAAGGCCCACAGGCCAAATTTGGCCCTCCACCTTGTTTTATCTGGCCCGGCACCTTGTTTCTATCCGGCAGCAGCACTGAGCTCTCGCTTAACTGTTAAGGAGCAGTTAGATTTATACAGTCCTAAAATTACATGTTGTTATTGTTTAATACCAAGAAGGGAAATAATTTGCCCTTTGAAGGCAAATGTGAGGCTGATGTGGCCCCTGGTGAAAATGAGTTTGACACCCCTGCTATAAAGCATTCTGTTGTATGTCTGATATCAGTTAGGATGCTTTTGACCAGAGGTAAGTGTCCAAACATAATGGACTTAAGTAATTAAGCACATTTATTGTCTCACACACACGCAGCTCAGACACGTCATTAAGGACTCTGTTTGGCCTCAGCCTCAGTGTGTTTGGCCTTAGGCTTGTCTCCTGGTCCTGAGAGCTGCTGCTGCAACTGCAGCTTCACAGCTTCACAGAATTGCATCTAGAAGTCAGAAAGGCTGCTCCTCCTCTCACATCTCAGTTTGTCAGTGGGAAGTGCATTTCCCACAGGTCCCCAGAAGATTCCTCCTTGGTTCCCTGGACTCAGTTCCCTGGGTCAGCTCACCGAGGAAGCGATTGTTGGACCCTGTGGGATGTGGACCCTGGGCGGGGGAAGGAGCTGAAGGAGGTTGGGAGGGTGGCATTGAGGGGATGCCCATGGCCTGCCGAAAGGGAGGGGCCACCGCTTACTCAGTGTTCCTCTGGGTCAGGCATCTGGTTGTGTGCAGACATCACTGTTGCAGTGGTGCGGGGAGCACCCTTGTGACCACGTTCTGAGGTGTGTGCTTAGTCATGTCCTTGAGTGAGGTTCTGGATTGATTGGTTCAAAGAAAATAAACAGTTTTAGAGCTTTGATAAGTATCGCCAAATAGTTTTCCAAAACAGCTGCACAACTTACATTTTCAGCTAGTTTTCTATGTGTGACCACCCTTTCACCCCCTACCTGCATACTCCCTGGTAAACTGTAGATACTATCTTTTTTAAAAAAATAATACATCTTTGTCAATATAAGTGAAAAATAATAACTTAATTTTTAACTTCTATTTCTTTCATGGCAAATAAGATTGATACATCGGTGTTGTTATTTGCAGTTTGTAATCCTTCTTTTAATGAATTGCCTGTTTATTGTCTTTGCCTGCTTTTGTATCAGTAAATAGGACTTAATTTAAAGTGGGAACATAATATCTAAAGTGCCAAGACCATCACGTTGATGACAGAGTCTGATATATGGTTGGGGAGCATGTCTTGTTATTGTTTAATACAAAGAAGGGAAATAATTTCATTGTTTCCATTACTATAGTTTTAAGTTGTATGTAAATTATATAAAACTAGAAAATTTCCTTAGTAATGAAACTGGAATGTTTTATAAATTACTATTTTATGAAAGATGTCAAAATATTCCAATCATAGGAAATAACATGCTTTAAAAGGAATAAATAACATTCACATTAGAGAAAGCATTGTTATCCCTAACATAAATGTAATGGTGATATGAAAAAATACCATTTGTGTCATCATTACAATAATAAAATGATTGACATTGAATTAAGCATAAAGAGTGTGTTTAAGTGCTGAGTCACCTCTGGAAGTGTCACACTTCCCCAGACATTTCTGGCTGTGCACTCTCTGCCTCATGGAGTGTCCCACTTCCAGACAATTCCAGGGTGGGACCCTGAGACTTCTCTAGACCACTGAGCTGTGCGTAGGTGATGAGTGTATGTTGTGGGACATGCATTTCACTGCAAGACCCTCTATGGAGCAACTTCCCTCTGCCACGGAGATGCACGTGTCATGCTGGGCTCTGCTCCCTCAGCCTGGGCACCCGAGTGACAGTGACATGCAGAGCTCCACACACAATGAGCATATCACTTAAATAAGAAGTAAAACAAGGTGTCAAGTTCCTTAGATTTTTTCCCATAGCATAATCATGTTATATTGTTTCCTAGGCTGGTTTAAGAAAACACCAAAATCTCAGTGGCTTAAACCAACAACAATGAATTGATTTATAGTTTTGGAGGTCAGAATCCAAAGTTGGTGCTGTCAAGCACTTTTCATCGGCAGGCTCTGTGCCCTGCCTTTCCAGATTCTGCAGGCTGCCCACGTGCCTTTTCTCATGATTCCAGCTTCCTGTAACTACAACCTCTTTCTTTTTTGTCACTTGCTGCTCTCTATGACTTTTAAAGTATTTTTTATTGATCACGCTATTACAGTTTTCCCAATTTCCCTCCTCTATACCCACTCTGGCCTGCCCCCCGGCCTTCCAGCATTCCCCTCCTTAGTCCATGTCCATGGGTTATACAGATAAGTTCTGTTTTCTATACCATTTTTATCTCTCCCTGTCTACCTTATGCCTACTAACCATGCTTCTATTTCCTGGTACCTTTTCCCCCCATTTCTCCTTCCCCCTCCCTACTGAACTCCCTCAGTGTGATGTCCATTTCTCTGATTCTGTTCCTGTTCTGGTTGTTTGCTTAGTTTTTGTTTTCATTGCTTTTCTTTTCTTTTAGGTTTTTTTGTTGATAGCTGTGTGTTTGTTATCATTTTACTGTTCATATTTTTTATCTTCTTTTTCTTAGATAAGTCCCTTTAACATTTCATATAATAATGGCTTGGTGATGATGAACTCCTTTAACTTGACCTTATCTGGGAAGCACTTTTATCTGCTCTTCCATTCTAAATGATAGCTTTGCTGGATAGAGCAATCTTGGATGTAGGTCCTTGCCTTTCATGACTTTGAACACTTCTTTCTAGCCCCTTCTTGCCTGCAAGGTTTCTTTTGAGAAATCAGCTGACAATCTGATGGGAACTCCTTTGTAGGTAACTCTCTGTTTTTCTCTTGCTGCTTTTAACATTCTCTCCTTATCTTTAATCTTGGGTAACTTAATGAGGATGTGCCTTGGTGTGTTTGGGTCCAACCTCTTTGGGTCCAACCTCTTTGGGACTCTCTGAGCTTCCTGGACTTCCTGGAAGTCTATTTCCTTCACCAGATTGGGGAAGTTTTCCTTCATTATTGTTCAAATAAGTTTTCAATTTCTTGCTGTTGTTCTTCCCCTTCTGGTACCCCTGTAATTTGGATGTTGGAAAGTTTCAGGTTGTCCCAGATGTTTGTAAGAGTCTCTTCACTTTTTCAAATTCTTATTTCTTCATTTTGATCTGGATGGATGTTTATTTTTTCCTTTTGTTCCAAATTGTTGCTTTGAATCCTAGTTTCCTTCATGTCACCGTTGGTTCTCTGAACATTCTGCTTTATTTTACTTTGGGTATCCTTCATTTGTTTTTGCATTTTTCGACCAAGCTCAATCAGTTCTGTGAGCATTTTGATCACCAGGGCTTTAAAT